CTTTGCCGCGCGGTTTGTCTGTCGGCTCCGCAAAGCAGTCTGCCTGCCTGCCGTTCTCCTCCGCGGCGTGGAATGAGTCACTCTAAGGACAATAGAGACAGTTAGTCAAGCCACGCTGGCGCGGACGCTTCCTGCGGATGCGCAAGGGGACGTCGTTCCCAACAGAGCCCGCGGTGTCTGCCTGTCCGCCGCCTGCCCCGTACGTCCCCGCGGTTGGAGGAAGAGGGCCGACGCGGGACAGCGGGAGAGAAAGAGCGCTCTCGACAGAGGAGGGCGACGCCGTCCGTCCATGTCTCCGTGGAGAGCCAAGCTGTTGAACTCGCCCGCCCAAAATGGCCGCCTCGCTGCATTGCACCCGCTAAACCTCCCCACGCCGCAGTTTGATATTTACGGCATGAAGCCAGGTGACGGGAAACCCTCGCTACTCGCAAGGCAGAGAAACCGAGCCCTGCTGCCAAGAGCCAAAAACCGTCAGTTCGCCGATGCCGACAAGGGGACCCCGTGCGTCGGCTCAAATCCTCGCCGGCATTTTTCACATTGAACGGAAAGAGCTCGCTTTCAATCCATTAGCTTTTCGCGCCAAAAGCTATTAGTCACAGCGCACGTCAACTCAACTTCACGCCACTTTGTTGATAGAGCACACCCGCAGCTGAAGCGCGCGCACGAGAAATTGACCTCATCGCCGGTGACACGGAGTATACGAAAGCCTCCGCACCGACGACTTGATCAAAGTGGCTTGAGATTCGATCGACTTTTGCAAAGAAAAAAAAAAAAAAAAGAAGGCCGCCCAGCGTGGCCAAACTCCCAAACAGGCCAAAACAAGGCTTGTGCCTACGAAAATCGAGATGCGGCTCTTTTGACGCCTGAGCGCATGTGCGCTGTTGATGAAAATAGAACCCGATATGGTTAGGGCTTTTTTTTTTTTTTTTTAATGCTCGCTGCATTCATTGTTCCAAAACGTCTTGGTCAACTGTACGAATTCGCCTGGTGGCAGATGTTCATTTAGTGCAAACAATGATACGAGCCACGCGAAGGTGGATGTAGCCGGTCCAAAAATTGGGACTCTTAGGCCTGCAGTCGAAGAGATAGAATGGCTGGGTGTTGACTCGGCCAAAAAATAATAATAATAAAAGCCCCGACGCTTCGCAACGATGACAAGCAGCGGGCTTGCTCGCCTCCCAAGTGAGAAACGTCAAGCGTGCGACCTCGGCCGACTGTCTGCCAGAGTGACGGCTGTGGAACACCGCGCAGGAAAAATAATAGATGGACCCGAATGGGACTTGTGTCACAGCCACCGCCTGCTGACGATGGCAGCTTAGTGTGCGCCTGCGGGGCACTGGCAGCATTCACTTTGTTCGGTAGGACAGGAAGCCGCAAACAAAAATCCCACCGCCGTCAAATAAGCTCGGCCGAGCCACAAAGGAAAATCAATTGAGCCGCTGAAGGAACACTCGTCGGAGACCAACGTAAAATGGATTGCGCCAAACCTTTCAGCAAACCCATCGGCGCTCCCTGCGTGAAATTTACGATCATGTCATTGTAAATCTCGGTGGGTCATTCAAAACTTTGCAACCTTGACACGATCTTAATTTGACTTCCCCTGTTTCTCCTCCTTTCCAATGTTCAGAGCTGCTCGTCATCTTTTAGCTCCTTCAAAGCCAACAATGAGCCTTCAGTGAAAGAAGAAAGAACAGAGCCTTGCGCACTGTGAAAACGCCACTCAAAGTCATCTTGCGAGGGACAAAAGTTTGTGGCGCGACTCCGTCCGTGTCACTCGCGCTTTGAGTCCACATCATCTCATGACTAAGACTGCAGCCTTTGCTGTGTCATGACCGTGACAGTGAGTCAGCACCGTGACCCTGAACGACACACACACACACACACACACACACACACACACACACACACACACACTTGAACGACACACACACACACACACACACACACACACACACACACACACACACACACACACACACACACACACTCACACACTCACACACAGGAGTTGGCATATGATGCAGTCCAAAATTCCTAACTCCGGACCTGGAAAAACACCCCCTCAGGCCCGCAAGCTGGATTCCCCCGGATCCGCTTCTCTCGTTCTCTTCCGAAGTCGTGACTGGAGGCGACGTGTTCCTCTTAATATGCGCCGACGACTGTATGAGGATGACAGCGGCACGCCGGCACACGCGGCTAAAGAGCGCGTGCCCAATTAGTGTGTCGTGTCCGCGTGTCTACGTGAGGATCCGGCTCATGCGGGAAGAGGCGTTTTGATGGCCAGAAGTCACCCCCTCCCTCGCCCGGCTGCGCAACGGGGCCGGCCTACGTTACCCACAAGCCCGCCGTCTTGTCGCGCGTCCCGTCACTTCCTGTGCGACAGCTCGGCTCGTACGTTCCAAGGGGCTCCCGTCGCATGGCGGGACGGTGCTTGTGGAAATCCCCGCATCAGAACCACCGAAGCGACCACTCGCTGGACCGAACGTCAAATGCGCCCCAAGTGTGCAATTCAACCCAAAATGTATTCTGGAAGAATATGCGTTGAAAGTCATTGAGCTTCACGTGCATCTGTGGCTGAAAAGCTAAGCCCGGAGAGTCTCTGTAGCACAAACGCACAAAAGGTACAAAGGGACATCCGGTCGGCGAAGACCGTCTCAATTCACTCTACACTGACCGTGCGTTTGTTTTCACAATAACGCTGAACAATAGTTGTCATTTCATATTGCTGGTGTCGGACGGAGCCGTTTCTATATGCTATCTGCTCTTTTCATGGCTCCGCAAACATGCTGCTCTTTTGTTCTCTTGAAATGCGATGCTTTTGGAGAGGCGAGAATTTTGCCCGATGCCAACAAGATGCATCTTTGGCTGGAAAAAGCAAAGCGGGGAGAGTCTTTGTCACCAAGATACATGTGCGCGGTCACCGAATAGGACCAACAGCCTTTCACATATCCACTCTGCTTTATTTTGTTTCCTCTTGTTGTATTATGATGATACAAATACAGGGCAATCTGCGTCTTCCTTGGCAATTGCGTTCGGTTAGCTGTGGTTCAAAAAAAGTAGTATGTGTGGCACCTTGCTTACGGCAACATCGCTTCCAGTCAGCGAGGTGGTTTATGTGCGAGGGTCAGTGACGTCGCTCGGTGGCGGTTGGCCGAAGGCTAATTTTGAGGCGTTCCAAAAAAGAAAGAAAGAAAAATAACATGCAACTTTTGCTGGAATGCAAGCAGTGGGAAAAAAACACAGAAACTTCCGAAACATGGGACAATGAGCGTGTTGCTCATTGAAAGGAGAAGTAGCATCTTTGCAACATGGCCTCCCTCCCCTCGCTACGCTCATTTCCCTGCCGTTTGAATTCAGTGAAGCTATAAACAGGATGTGTTGTCACCGCACCCTCAACCGACCCCACTTGACACCCCACTCAACTGCTGTCAGGACTCTTTTGTGACATTCAACGCTAAGGAGCAGCTACGGGACTGCATCTGGACACAACTCACTTGATGTCACCGTCCGTGTATGACGGCCGCCCCCGACAGATGCGGCGAGCAGTGTGACCGCAGGCTGACGCGGCAGACGCGTGCGCGCACGCGCATTCCCATACACGCCGGCAGATAGAGAGCCCTAGCCGAGCCCATAGAAATGGAGAGACCCGGCACACGCGAGCTACCGTAAGCCGCAGACATCCATGTGCTCGCGCGCTCCAATCACAAACCGGCACATGCGGCGACGCCAGGCTGGAGAGATGACGTCGGTCGAGAGCAGGAAGAAGAGGAAGGGAGGCTAGCGGACGTACTCACCCCGTTTCTGAAGCCATCCCTCTCTGACGATGGTGACATCGCTCATGGTTCCTTCACGCCGAGTGCGTTGTCGCTACACGCCTGCTCCGCAGAGAGCGCCGGGCAGGAGGAGGAGGAGGAGGAGGGGGAGGGCGGCTCTCCCAGCCTCGTGTCACTCTCCCTCCCTCCCTCCCTGCCTCCCTTCCTTCCTTCCTTCCTTCTTTCTTTCCTTCCTTCCTTCCTTCGCCGTTCACGCTCTCAGTGCGTGCGTGTATTGCGGTGCTTCTTGTTGTGGCTTATCTCGCTCGCTCCCTCCCTCCGTGCTACTTCTTCTTCTTCTTCTTCTGGTCCTGCGTCACTGCCGCCTCCTCCCCTGCTCCCGCTCCAGACCTTCCTCCTCACCGGCAGTGACTCAGCCTGGAAGGAAATGAAATAGGGGGGTTGGAAAAAATGATTTTTCATATCCTCTGCTATTCAATCATTTTCAAACTGAGAATTATTGGTCATCACGCGCCGTCAACACCAGCGCATCGGACTTGGGCTCAGTGGTACCACCAATGGCAAGTCGGCTCCATGTTGGTCACTCTCCATCTGAGAGTGTGATGCTAAAATCAATGAGGAGCCAATCATAACAATGACAGCAAAAGCGCACGGGACGGTCACGTTTTCAATGCCCCGATGCGAGACGACAAAGAGTTTCACTTGCTAATATGACAAAATGACAAAAGCGAGAAGACGTCAAGAACGATCATTAAAGCAGAAGACGAGGGCTCTGCAAGATGGACACCGTTTCATGTCATTTGATTTGGAGGGAGGGACACCGGTTCATGCCAGGTATCTCATTAACAATACAAGAACGAGATTGCTGCGGGTTCCGTGAAAACGAGACTTTTTGTTTTACAGCAATCTATCAATCTGAAAGAAAGCAGGACGTGCGGGGGAGGGGGGAGGGTTTACATTGGAACTTAACTGACAGTCATCAACATTAACAAAGTCACCAAGAAATGAAAAAAAAATCAATATGCAGAACTCAGCTTTCACGATAAATAACAATTTGATGCTACAACAAAGATGTTTGTCGTGTGTGTGCGTGCGCTGAAACCTTCTTTCTTTCCTTCCTTCCTTCCTTCGCCGTTCACGCTCTCAGTGCGTGCGTGTATTGCGGTGCTTCTTGTTGTGGCTTATCTCGCTCGCTCCCTCCCTCCGTGCTACTTCTTCTTCTTCTTCTTCTGGTCCTGCGTCACTGCCGCCTCCTCCCCTGCTCCCGCTCCAGACCTTCCTCCTCACCGGCAGTGACTCAGCCTGGAAGGAAATGAAATAGGGGGGTTGGAAAAAATGATTTTTCATATCCTCTGCTATTCAATCATTTTCAAACTGAGAATTATTGGTCATCACGCGCCGTCAACACCAGCGCATCGGACTTGGGCTCAGTGGTACCACCAATGGCAAGTCGGCTCCATGTTGGTCACTCTCCATCTGAGAGTGTGATGCTAAAATCAATGAGGAGCCAATCATAACAATGACAGCAAAAGCGCACGGGACGGTCACGTTTTCAATGCCCCGATGCGAGACGACAAAGAGTTTCACTTGCTAATATGACAAAATGACAAAAGCGAGAAGACGTCAAGAACGATCATTAAAGCAGAAGACGAGGGCTCTGCAAGATGGACACCGTTTCATGTCATTTGATTTGGAGGGAGGGACACCGGTTCATGCCAGGTATCTCATTAACAATACAAGAACGAGATTGCTGCGGGTTCCGTGAAAACGAGACTTTTTGTTTTACAGCAATCTATCAATCTGAAAGAAAGCAGGACGTGCGGGGGAGGGGGGAGGGTTTACATTGGAACTTAACTGACAGTCATCAACATTAACAAAGTCACCAAGAAATGAAAAAAAAATCAATATGCAGAACTCAGCTTTCACGATAAATAACAATTTGATGCTACAACAAAGATGTTTGTCGTGTGTGTGCGTGCGCTGAAACTTCAACGTCAAATATATAGAAGAGAAAACGCGTGCGTCTGCCGCGTCACTGAAGGCGCCGCAGACGGTAAGACACACGCGACTCAACATGTTAATGAGTTAGGACACGCCCGCTTGGCCATCGCTGGCTGCAAATGATCACATGACAGGGCTTGTCCAATCAGTGCTGTGGGAAATTTAGTTCGCTTAGTCGTCAACGTGTGACTGTTGTGATAGTAGGTAGGACAAAAAAAAAAAAAAGTATACTTATCGCTTGAAAATGGATTTACTTTTTTCTGTTTTCAATACATGCGGTTTGTTTATATCTCGAATGTATCAAAAATAGATATTTATTTATCACTCATGAAGGGTTTGCTGAATGTGCATATGAACTGGTTGGGTTCGGTAGCTCGAAAAAGGTTAAGAAGCACTGTTTCAGGGTACATTCGGGCATCATAAATCAGATACGTTTCTCCAAAAACGCATGGATGGAAAGAGGAGCTTGAAATAAGAATCACATATGCAATTGCAATCACTATTATGAGGGGGAAAACATGACAATTGGATCATTTTTTTAAAAAGCGTTCAGCTCTGAGACAAAGCCCCCCCCCCCGCCCCCCCCCCCCCCAAAAAAGGACCAACTGATGGCTTTGAACTCTCGAACTCATCACTCAGGCCAATCATAAGTCAGGGTACTGCTGTAATTCCTGCGAGGACATCCTCGTCCTACCGGTGTGCTACTCGCACGATTGAGCGTGGGCGAAATCTCGGGCGCCAGCCAGAACGTGACCTTGCTCGCCAGACAAATACGTCTGGTCCTTTCATTCATCAAAATCTAGCGTGCCGCGTTATTCCTGCACGTCCAATGACGCGGGTAGGCTGCTGCGTCTGCACGTGTTGGAGGGGCAGAGCGGCTCGGGACTGTGGAGTACGCCATGCCATGGGCTATAAATAGCAGGAACGTAAAAAAAAAAAATGGAGAGGAAAAAAAAAAAGAGAAAAACACACACTCACTCTCTGCAGCGGCTCTCCCCCGCATTGCTGGCGCGTTCACCTCAAATGCACCCTGCTCCACTTGACTGTATTACACAACAAGAGCGCCACGCCACCGCCACATTGGGCGACCTCGCGCCGGGCGCGGTGAATCAGTATTCGGCGAAGCTCGCCCCTGCGCCGCCGCCGAGGGCGGGAGGGTCTGCGTTGTCAGGGTTGGAGACGGGGACGCACTTTCACATGAGCGCAATCAAAATGTCTCCTGTCATTTGCTCGGCTAACTAGAACACGAGCACCGAATCGAAAGTGCGCTTTCGAGAGAGGCGGAACAAGAGACGGCGACTGAGATGAAGAGCGGGGAGACCCCCCCCCCCTCCCCTGTCGCCAGGCTGGCGGTTGCCACGGCGACAGCCACCGGCGGGATGCGCCAGCCATGCCGGGGGAAGCTCACGCCAGGCAAGATTGATCAAGGAAATTCCATTCTCGGAGCCCGTGAAGGGAACCCGATGGAAAATGCCTTTTTCAATTGCCGGCTGAGTCAAGCCCCAACTACTCGTGGGGGATGGGGATCCAGCCGCCTTGTGGATTACAGACAACAGAATGGTCAATATATCGCCAATTTGATCCGGACTAATGGTGGCAGTTGAAGATATCTCTAATTCACCTCAATCGGGACGGGTCCCTTTTCACATCTCTTACACTTTGAAGCAGGTGAAGATGTAGACAGACATCTGGAGCTGGAAATATGGTCAGAATCAAGATGTGGCAGATATCGCCAACTCAATTTTCACAAGGCATTGTCGGTTCCACAAATCACAAATAAATTCCTACTATTCAAACATGTCATGACGATGAATCGCAAAGACGTTGTTAGTGTATCCATAATTTATTTGGATATTTGGCGCTGGGGGGGCATGGGGAAGCCTGCGGTCATGAGACTCCATTTTAGAAGGCGACCTTGTTTGATGTTCAAATCACGATCCTCATTTTCAGCATCATCATCACTTGCGTCACTGGCTGTCGAGCTGACGCACGCTGCCGCCATTCCACTGTCATCAGAATAAACAGCGTATGAGTGTCATTGCGTTGATATTAGCGTGACGCTGCAAAATATCCGGACCGGAACGTAACGTAACGTAACGTAACGTAACGGAACGTTCCGTTAAGTCGACCAGCCCACCATGAATCCAGCCATGTTGTTATGCTAGCGAACCGCATCGTAGCTGCCTCGCTGGCTAGCTGCTTTACCTGAAGCAGCAGGTGCGGTCCCGATCCTTCTTGTGCTTGTCTCTCTCTCGTCCTCCTGGTGCTTTATTCTTGTGTCTGTCTTGATAGGGTCCCAACTTCGTCCCTAATGCGGGGGCGGACTCCCTCGCGGAGATACCGCATCAACCAACGTCTTGTTTGGACTTTCTGGGGAAGCTCCTGACGTCACGCGGAGAACCCCCTTCCCCCGCTTTCTTTCGTTCTTCCCTCTCGCGCCCTCCTTTTCCCGTCGCCCGCGTAAAACTATGATGACACCGAATGACTCTTCGGCGTTCCGAGTGAAGCGTCCGCGGCGGTGTTGCCGTTTTTCGAAGAGGGCTCGCTTATCGGTGGCCACTCGAGCTCATCTTCTTCATCTTCATCTCATCCTCCACATCCCGATTCTCGCGAGATCTCGTGCCGCTACTAACCTAAACGGTTGAGCGGTTTGCAAATGTGGTTCACCTGTGGAGTATCGACGCATCTGAGCGACTGATAGTTGTTCTTTCTTTTTTTCTTTTTTTTTTTTAAAGATAAATAAATAAAATATGACATATGCACATTACGCAAGCAAATCAGCGGATAATAAAATCTTAAAAAATGACAACGCGGGAGCAACAGGGTTTTGGTGCCTTGCTCAAGTACACTTCAACGTAGTCACACGGTTGAGGATTGAGCCCATAACCTTGAGGTTGGGACAGTGATAGAGTGGCCATCACTCTAGCACGCCATGCCACCCATGCGCACGCACCCACACGCTGGCACATAAGGTGAGTTCAGGCCAACACAGTAAACCGAACGCCCATTCCTTGTCTACAATAACACCCCACCCTTTCATTCCCAAACCCCCTACCACACAGACACACACAGGACATATTTTGCGCCTGTATCCTCACGCACGCACGCACGCACATCCCGACCTCGACTCCAGCCCCAGCTCCCAAAGCTCAAGGAAGCAGAAGCCGCCCCCTTCAGCCCGTCACTCGGGGTGGCTTTGAAGAGAAGAGGGGTCAGCCTGGCCCAGGAGACCCGCAGAGAGGTAAGGACAGCTGCGGTCAGACGGACCACGCGCGGGAGGTGAGGTGGGGGGGTACACAGGCACGCGTGTCTATCTATATATACACGCACACACACGTATGCACACGAGAGACGGGACAAGAGCAGCTGCAGTCGGAATGTTCAAGGTGCGCTGTGCGGCAGCAGCGCTCGGCAGCCAGCATGGTCCAACATGCATACGTGGGCTTCTTCCGGGTCACCTCCTGTGCACCGGCCTGGCTAATGGGAGCAGCGCACAGCCAAATGACCGCAGACGCAACACGCCCAAAGCAGTCACGCCAACGATGAGCGACGTGGAGAAACGGTGGCAAAAGAAAACGGTTCCTTTTTAGAGGTGAACGACTTCTTGAAAACTTTTCTTTCCCATTATATCGGACACCCGCTATTCACGGGGGAAGCCACGAAGAGCGAAAATCTGCACATAATTGATGGCCATTATCAATGTCTTGAAAAACCGAACGGTATACTGTTCATTGAGAGGTCTCAACTCCTCTCTTAGCTCATCAGTACGGCACTAATTGTAGTGGTCCTACACAGAGGAAAAAGAATGGATGACTTCAAGCACGCAAATGCTATTTAGCATTCGCATTTTCATTTGTATCATGATGCTGAGCGAGCCGTTGTGTGTGTAAAAAGTGATGCGGCCGTCCTTTACTCTTTTGCATGATCGATGCGGGCTTTTCTATGTGGGCCTTTTTCTCTCTTTCAATTGTGTACTGTCGGAGTTGACCTGGTTAGTTGTGGAGTTAGTCTTCTTCCCTTTGGTGTCAGCACGTGTGTTTCTTTGTGCAATGTGCAACGCGTGCGTGTGTGTGCGCGTGTGTACCTTCTGCTCCTGTGCAGACAGGTTGTGTACCCCCCACCTCTACCATCCCATGCCCCAAAACACACCAAAACACCCCCGCCACCCCCTCCACCTACATTGCATGGCCCCCAGATTGTAGCAGTCTGCTTTCTCAGGTTGTTCAGCTGCCGTACGCTGAAAATAAATACGTTCATAAATAAATAAAGACACGAGGTGCTTGGGGCCAGAGGAGGCAACGCACATGTGTATTTTTATGCTGCAATGGGTGCAATTCTATTGTTTTGATTGCTACATGTGTTGTTGTGCCCCCCGTCCCTGTCCCTGTAGGATCTGTAATCATGGGACATATGTCCAAAGAAGAAGCACTTGGGCAAGAAAAGCACCTTGTTCAAACAACGACGCGATTCCGAGACATTTCGATTCATGTTGTATGGCAGGATGTCGTACATTTAGGCGAAGCTTGACATGATGTAGCAAAGAGGGTTTTCGGAAAAAAAGTAACGACACACGTTCAAGAATAGTGGTTATGTCCTCTTTGTCATCATGATGACGTGATATTGAACGAATTCCAAATGATAACAATACAAAAGAAAAAAACTGCAAATATTCGGCTGAATTTCCCAACTTAAAAACATGGATTCGTTTGTTGCCTTGAAAATACCGGCGCTATTTCACTGTCGCCGCGGTACAGCCGCTTGTGTTTTTTTGAGCTTGTAGAGGGGAGCATTTTTCACAGGCCCATTTTCTTTCGCGGACAGTCTGCGATGGTGCGGCTGGATGGACGGATGGCTTGTGGAACCAACGATGAGGAGAGAGGAGGGAGCGTCGCCGCTTGGAATTGAAACGGATTTACATGGGACAGGAGAGGTGAACCAACCCCTTTTTTTTTTTTTTTGTCAATGGACCCTCCAGCTTCTTTCTTGTTGATTTAAAAACTTAGCTTGTAGCTGACGCGTGCACATTTTGAGCATGACGTCTCTGATCCACTGGCGAAAGGACACTTGGATTCTTGCCTCTTTCTTCTAGAACTGCTTCAAACAATGAAAGCTTCTGCAGGTCGAGTGGTTAAGATTGCACGGCTTGTTATTTTATGATAACTGTTTTGTTCAGCGCTTTGTTACGGCTGCAGCTGTTGTGAAAGCGCGATATAAATAAAGATGCGCCGTATTGCATTGTCAGTCGTCGCAGCATAAACCGCTCCAGGCCACTAGGGGGCAGCCTGTTAGCTTCCACAGCAGGCGGCAGCTTGCTTCTGCGACCCACGTGCGGAAGAAAAACCAACAATGGGTTTGGATTATTCATCGAACATCTGGAAGGGAAAGGCTCGGCCCTGGCCCTCCCCTGAGGCTCACTTCTGGAATACCTCGTATTTGATGTGCCGCTCCAGCCAAGAAGAAAACCAAGAGCAAGACGTCTCCGGAGGGAGCGCGCAGGAATTGTCGCCGCCGCCGCCGCCGCCAAGTGAGGCTGACGGCGCCACATCTGTCCACATCTGGATGCGCAGAACGTGTTTGGCTTTCCGGCAACTGGCACAGCCACACGCGCAGGGACCAAAGCTTTTTTTTTTTCAATCCTGACACTTCATGCTCGCGCTCCTCCGCTTCCTTCGTTGACACAACCATCCTCCTTCACGTGGGCACACACACACACACACACACACACACACACACACGTTCTCTTCGCCAGCAGACCCATTAACACCCAATGTGTGCAAATATGCCGGTGGCTCCCCCGAGGAGGCTGGCTCGGAATTGTCGTCTTGCTTTCAGGACAAACATCTGTCCAGAGGAAGACGAGGAGGAGGACAAATGCGTCTCTTTTCCTTCTCAATCCCCCAGCGTGCCATTGCGGCACGTCATGTGATGGGGAAGTCGTCACAAAGAAACTAGGACATTACTTTTTGGGTAAACAACTTTTCGCAAGGAAGTGCTAAAAAGCATCACGCAGCAAACACGTCAGTGAGAGCAAAATGCAAACAAATGATTCACGGCAATGAGGGCTTCTTCTTTTCACTTCTTCACGTGCAAGTGAATAGAATGGAAAGTATTCATTGCCATTGTATGGGGCATCCAAACTCCAAATTTGTGTTACGGCAGACCCCTCGAGCCCCACCCCGCCCGCTCTAATCACGGGGCCGCCCTGTGAATCGCAGAAATACCCGTATGATTGACGGCCATGATGAACATAGTGAGAACCCTCACTAGCGTAGCTTTTTCCCGGAGCCTTTGCCGATTCCAAGATTGTTTCCTGAGATAAAAAAAAAATACAAATAACCGTTTTCTTTGGGTATACCCCCAACCCTACTTTGGGTTGAAAAAAAAAAGCTGCAAATACAATGGCTGTCAATGATCCTTTTGCGAAAAGCGGGCCAGGCTGGTCCCACTTTTATACCTTTAAAATTGTTATTGATCTAAAAATGCACATTTCAGTGACTTTTTTTGTGACTTGTTGACAAAAAAGAAGCAGTCCTGTCGTCACACATGAGGTCATTCAGTCGAAAAACAAATGTCATCTGTCAACTTTAGCAAATCAGATCATGTTTTTTTTCTTTTTTGAGGGGGGGGTTGCGGGGACAAAACACTCACTGCGGTGTCCAGTTGTTGTTTACCCGGTCAGGCCGGCTGAAAGGTGACACACAGGGGACGGACGCCACGTGTTAGCCCGGCGTCAGCTCACCATATGGGGCGGGAGGACGAGAGCTAAGCCCTGTGCAAGTCCCAACACATGGATCTCGCAAACACGGGCAGATGCCACCTCTGTGGTGCGCGCACACACACACACACACACACACACACACACACACACACACACAAAAAAAACCCGCCAAATCTGCCCCAACATTCTAACGACATGATGATGGAGCACTTTACTGGTTGATGGCAGCCCAACATGTTGTTGTGTTATTTTGCTCTCCCAAACTAAGATCAGCTTTATTCGGCCCACCGTGCGGACATTTGCAAACAAAATGCACTCCCGTTGATCGAAACAAACAGTCCCACGGCGTCCGTTCTCGATGCTACAAAAATGCTCACAAAGCCATGCGAAGCTTTGGCTTGAAAATCAAAAGCGAGCACGTTGAGCTATTGACGTTGGATTAGATAAAAAGTACAATCAAAATAAGAATTTGAATTTTTTGTCAAATGTGAAATTCAATATGTTTGGCTTTTTATAATTGGGTCGTTAAATGTTCAAAATAAATCTCATCAAAGCAGAATACTATGTTTGAATTTCAAATAAGATTAAACAATTCGATTTTGAAATCACGTTTTGCAAGCATATTTTATTCTGTTCCATTAAATGACAATATTTTTATCGACAACATTTAAAACGTAGATTTTGCACACGTTTCACTTCCTCGCATTGTAGTTTGAGTGAAAATTCTTGCCATGTATCCAAATAAAATTGCATCCTGTCTCACGCCTTTTGAAAATCAGGAAAAAAAAAACATTAACAACTCAACACAAAAACAAGCCGCAATTTAGCAGCGCTGAATATTAATAACGCTGCTAAAAATAAAAAAACAATAATTGTGCCGCGGGCTGACAAGGCTAACATCTGGACAGTTTGGCAGGCGAATCGAGGCGCTGAGAAGCCTCTTCTATGCTGCTCCAGATGCGCGCACGCACGCACGCACGCACACACGCACACACACTCAGTGAGAAGCATCCATACATGCACATGTGCAAACACAAATACAGATGTGCACAGAGGGTCACCACAGATGCACACATGCACGCACGCACACACACACGCGCACACGCACACACACACACACACACACACACACACACACACACACACACACACAAAGCAATATCTCAGCCCCAGATGGAGACGGCGCGAGTGGCAGCTGAGGTGTGGCATTGTTGGCACAGGTAGCATGTTGTCAACAGCTGGCGCAGGTTAGGCATTCCTGGGAATTGGAGCCACAAGGCAAATGTTCCCGCTGGCTGGGGGGGGCACGCCGGTGGTGGCGGAGGCTGACTGGCACAACAACATCACCCCCACAATGGGCAGCGGTGGCAAAACACTCCATACTTCAATATGTGTCTGTGACATGCTCAAAGGTTGACGTCGGAGTGTTTTGTCGATTTTATGCAACAGGTGAAGAAAGTCCAAAGGCAGAAAAAGGAGCCCATCGGTTGCAGGTGTCGTCGCGCTGTAGAAACACAACTCATGATTTCGTGCAGGCACCCGCACACCCGCTCAACCCGGCTGAAAGGCAATTTTGTCGGCGTGACGCAAAACATTTCTGGAGTTGAAGCCAGCCAGACTCAGCCACACGTTTGCAGTCCAATTTTCAGGCCAAATAAAGGGCACCCATCGGCAAGATGATTCGTACTATCAAGAAGAAAAATGGAGTGTATATTAAGGCTAAGGGGGATCTAATCAGGTCACTCAGCTAAGTCAAACACAAAAATTGGTCGACCCCAAAAATAATAATAAAACCAAATTTGCAGGGCTTGGGTGGGGCGATGACTCCAATATTCAGTCGCAGAATCAATAGGATCGCTGATTTGAGAAGGATTTCATATTGACTGCCCGACTATACATTTAACAGGTGTACTTTTTGTTTCTGTGAACGCCATCGGCGCAGTCAATAAAGCAACGATTAACAAAGGGGGTGAAGGCAACTCATGGTGGAGATAAAAAGTCTACGCAGCCCTCTTGAAAAATGAGACCAAGATAGCTCATTCAAACTCCTTTGCGCTGTTAGTGAGCCCGTAACCTGGACGGCTCAACTGAAAACGGAGGGACGTCAAAACAAACAACCGCGCTAACGTGATTGCACAAGTCCACACACACACGCAGCCTCCGGTAAATGGCGATATGGCTGCGTTCCGAATGAAACAATCCCATTCAAGCTCATTTCAAGGGGGAGCGCCTAGCGCGCACTCAGGGCGAATCGAGGAGATCACGTTTTCTGACAGGGCGGCGAATGAATGCCTTCCGAGTCTTGACATTTCAAGATACAATCGAGCAAAAAAGTCCCGGAACAAACCTAACTGACTAACTAACTAAGTTCCATCGATCCACAGCACACCCAGCGGTTTCGTGGCTTCTCCAGATGCACTTTGGCAAATTGCCGACTCATCAGAAACAAATTTGGTCCACCCAGGCTGCCTTCTTTCCTCTCTTCTGACAATATTGGTGCGCCCCTGCTCAAAGAGGCCTCCCGCTTCTCCACTTGAATTACTCAAGTGGAAATTTGTTTTTAAGTGTCGAAATTTCTCATGCTCTTAAAAAAGGAAGCCTCACATGATCACTTTATGAACGTCTATTGTGTTTTGGACTCTGCTGTGTGTGTGTGTGTGTGTGTGTGTGTGTGTGTGTGTGTGTGTGTGTGTGTGTGTGTGTGTGTGCGTGTGCGCGTGTATTAGCCGTCTTACCGCCCAGGGACTGATTTCCTCCACCGCCGCAGCTGCTGGCTGCCATCTCCTCTGACATCTGGAGCGGAGAGGGACAGGCGAGCAGGCAGACAGACAGTTGGAGACACAGAGGATTGACTTGTACATCACATGTGTCTGATCTCTCCCCAATAAACACAACGGGAGCACATCGCAGCGTCGTGCATCTGCTGCAGAGGCTCAGAAACACGCGCGCGCACGCTTCGTGTCTGATGTGACCGCTCTGAAAATGTCTCCGTCCTCACCGTTTTGTACGATACGCCACCCACAACATATTTTAGGTCTGGAAATGGCGCTAACTAGCCGGACGGACGTCATGTCATTTCGACACGTGGACGATAGTCAGGGTTGCGAGTTAAAACACGAGAAGCGACAAAAAGGAAGTGAGAAGAAGAGCAACAGCCGGGAAGACGGACTGGAAGGGAGCAAAAGAGCAAAAGAAAGAGGAAGACTTGCCTTATCGCCAGTACAGAGCTGTGAGCAATCTCAACACAACACCATCCTGAGATTCAATCGCTGATTTGGGACGCGAAGAAAGCGCAAGTGAATGACGCCATCATTTTTACGATACGGCTCAAGTCTCCGCCGTTCGCGGGCAGCAGCTCGCCGCTAGCAGCTAGCAACGAGCTTTCTTCTTTTTTAGTGATGTGGACAACGGCTAGTTTGTCATTCGTTCTCCGTCTTTAAAGGAAGAGGATGTGCTTTAAATTGCACTTTGAGGTCTTTTTCATTCACACGCCATCACTGGACAGATGTACAACCCCACCCACACACACACACACACACACACACACACACACACACGCGCGCGCACACAGGCACACACACGCACACACAGCTTGGAGGTGTCATTAACCAATTTAGCTTCCAGATGTCCATCATGGAGCCACAGCCAAAGTTGCACAGCTCCATGTGGGCTTCACACAAATCCACCACACAGGTGCAAACATCCCCCACACGCGCGCTGCCAAGTTTCACTGTGTGGATGCTGAGGCAGAAACGGAAGCACTCACTGAGCGTGTGATGTACAGAAAGCAGACGAGATGTTTGATTGACAATCGCACATCTTGATGAAAACTTGCTGGCTTTTCTTTTTTTCATTTTTCTGAACATCCCTAAAAATGAGTCTCGGTACCATCTGGGAGACAGACACTTAAACACACAGTTGGTCTTCCTTGTGACTCACACACACACACACACACACACACACACACACACACACACACACACACACACACACACTCACTCAGGGTGGATCTAAAAAGTCTACACACCCCTGTTCAAATGCTCATTTCTTTTTGTGTGTGATCAAGAAAAATGAGACCGGGATGATTCTTGTCCAAACCATGAAAGTGACCTCTAACCTGTGTCCAACTCAAGAGAAAATTCTGATCAAGCAGGCGAGCGCCCATCAACCACGAACATATGGTTGCAACAAGTGTACACACCCTCTTCCGAATAGCTGGGTTGTTGCTGTGTTCAGAATGAACCAATCACATTCAAACACAGGTTCCATTGGGAGTCAGCGCACCCGCCACTGTTTAATGCAAAATAAAGTCAAGTCCAGTTCCAGTCCTTTTCTCGTGTCTCTTGTGGTCCTCTCACTTTCTCTTTCCCTTTCTTGCTGTCTCTTTCTCTCATCTGTTTCTTCTTCCCATTTTCTGTCTCTTCATCTACCGTGACCTCTCTTGAGTCGCGCACCCGCCACTGTTTAATGCAAAATAAAGTCAAGTCCAGTTCCAGTCCTTTTCTCGTGTCTCTTGTGGTCCTCTCACTTTCTCTTTCCCTTTCTTCCTGTCTCTTTCTCTCATCTGTTTCTTCTTCCCCTTTTCTGTCTCTTCATCTACCGTGACCTCTCTTGACTCACGTAGGACTCTTTTTCTCCCCGTTTTTCTGTGCCCAAGTGAGAAAAGTCATCATGCCGCAGAGGTCAACGAATACAAAGTTGTGCCTTACTAGTAATGTCCTATTTTGGTGCCAAAGTTGTCCTCCGAGTGTGCAGAGATGTCCCAGAAGTTAGACGGTCATTCTATTACTGCGTTCTAGTCGCTCTAGCAATGCGCTGAAATGTCTTTCCATCAAGCCGTTTGAGTTCAATTCAATATTATCGCTATCCAGCAGCAGTTCCGTGTACGAGTGGGGTAAAACTACTCATTTGCACATTTGGGGCTTTGTGAGTAGTGGCTACTAGTTTGTGGCAGAGGCCTGCCATTTGGGCCTAATCGAGTTACGAGTGCAACACAGTTGTTTGCTCGTCAGGTTGAATAGCTGCCATCCATCCATCCATCCATTCTCAAGTAAGCCAAAAGTGATACGAGTGATGGGGGTGGGGGGACTTGACCAGGACGATATTGCCATTCTACTAGTGGGCTGAAGTGACATGCACGCTAAGACATGCACCTAAAGTTGGATATCCTTCACATTGAAGAAATGCTCAACGCGGCGACTGGCGAGCTCTACGCGGGATCTACAGCGACCTTCAGAGGCGGAAAGGGGTACTGTAGGCTAAAGCGGGCCCGGAAGAGGAATCTTGCGAGCCACTCAAGTTCGCTATCTGTCTTTTTTGAAGTCGTTCGACCTCCGGTGGCTAAAATAGCCACAACACAGAATAAATCCTTTGGGGAGTTCCCAGTTGGTCCGTGTACGCCCCCCCCCCACCCCACCCGCGAGCGCGCGCGTGCACACACACACAAGGGCCTCATTGTCCCACCAAGCCGTCCAAGTGGAGCCCCGGAAAAGTGACGGGCACAAACAGGGTCACCATTCATTTGCATTTGAACGAGTGCTGTGCCTATGACACCGCATCATGTCGATTCATTAGCCGCCTATTAGTGACGCCAATTAGTTTACTAGGACGCCTTTCGCCCACGCAGGACGCGGGACGTGTCCGTCTCCCTGCTGGCCGGACTTTCCGCCAAAGTGTCTGTCCCAGTGACCCATAAAAAGAGACATTTTTCAAAATTACTTTTTTCAACACTTTTTCATGTTCATGGTTGTACTTTTACTAGCCCGGTGTTCAAGGCCACCTCAGGGTTATTAACACGAAAAATGATTTGTTTTTCTCTCTCATGAAACTTCTTGGAAGGTCCGTATCCTATCAGGCAAACAAAGAGAGAGACGATAAAGCCTTGCTTTTTACAAGGCAAGGATCCACGTTTGGTTATTTCATAAACAGAATGGCCTCACTGGAACGTGGTATGAGTTAACCGTGTGATTAGCCCGAGTTATTGTTGAAAAATATTGGCGTTATTCTTGTCACGTATGTTGAATTCCATCGCTGATGTTTCCACAATGCACTTGCTCCCGCGTCACTGCGGTTGGACTACACTACCCACGATGCACCTCGAAGCGACAGCGCTCCCTCCGCCTTCTCCACCTGTCTATATGTCTTATTTTTGCTTTAATTCATTTACAATTCTGTGTAGAATGACAGAGAATCGGGTGAGGAATACTGAGGTTGTTACTTTTTTTGCGTCTGTTTTAACTGAACCAAAACACATATTATTACCGTATTCACCTTCAGTACGAATAATCCTGTGAGTAAAAACTCTGTGAATTCATATCAATTTACCGTATTCACCTTCAGTACGAATAATCCTGTGAGAAAAACTCTATGAATTAATATCAATGGATAATCGTGGATAATATTTAGAATGAGTTATTGTTAATGAATGGCAGCATGTGGTTGTTTTTTTTTTTTGTTGCCACTGTCCTCCCGCCGCGGTTTCCTCGAGGTGTTCCCACGGCGCTGCACCTGCTCGCTGCGGCCGGACTACAGTACCCACGAGGCCCCGCGTCTCTCCCTCGCTCCCGTCCGCGCCGGCCGCCCGTCCTCCCCTCGCGCTCCCCCCCCCCCCCCCCCCACCGCTCCTGCTCCTTGTCGAGCCTCCACCATTGGCTCCCAGCCTTGCCAGTCAAGTCCCAGCCCGAGTTGTGTGAGCTGTTGTGTGTGGGGAGGAAACAGCAGGCAGGGACAGCAACAGCTCGGAAACATCTGGCCGCCGCAGCGGAGTCCCTCTCCCCTTCCCCTGCCTCGACAAGCCCGTTATGGGAGGCGACGCAAAGTCGACGTGAGGGGGAAGCGAGGGAAAGCGCCGAGGAGGATTCGGCGGAGGACGTCGGAGCGCGCTGCCTGTAAGTGGCGCTCGGTCGCTCGAGTGAGTGGAGAGGGGCTGAGGTAGCGAGTCCAAAGTAGCTTCCTTATCCCTACGCTAGCATGACTGCGTCGCGTTAGCTCGCCTCCTTTTCGCAGCCGTTGTCATAGCAGCGGGGCCTAACGGCGGCGGGCGGGAAGGCGGCGAGGCGGCAAAGTCCTTCCTCCGGCGGACGCGGCATCCGGTCCGCGCGCGAGCTTTCTTTCGACGCTCGCCTCCACTTTTGAGCCGCTCTTAGCTAGCTTCCGCGGGGGCTCGGCGCGTGCCTCCTTCGACGCGGGCGTCTTCTTCCTCGCCGATGGAAAACGCGCAGAAAGAAGAACTCGCTCCGAAACTCTCCGTGTCGCCGCTACGACGCGACTACTCGGCTCGCTACGACTTTATTACACTGACTTGAAAGACGGCCGCCCGCCCGCAGCGTTCATTCGAGTCAACCGTTTGAAAAAGTTTCTCCTGATCAATTGGCGACGTTTTCGTGTTCAGACTTGCTCTAGCCGTCCGTCTTTATACGAAGGGGCTTCTCAAAAGGAAAGTTCCAAGGTGCCAAAGTTCCGAACTAATAACATGCGGTAGTATCCCCCCAACCCTCCAAATCCCATTGGGATGACAGATTTTGTTTTCAAACAGCTCAATTCATATTTGGTCGTCGTCACACGGCACATTCAAATCTTGATGCATCACCGGTCGCTGGAAACGTTGCACAGCAAGTGATTGACTGATGCACGGATGACAGATTGGCCGCCAGGGTCGAGAGCATGACCCAAAATATCAGGATGTATCCTTTTAGATTCAGTTTTTTGTTTTTTATTCCAGAGAAACCTGTGACGGATGGAAATTAATTTGAAACCAAAAAAACAGATCCGAACCCGGAAGCTCCCAAGTGTGCGGCAGCCTTGCTAAAGTTTCGTCGGCTGTGCTGCTGGCCCATGCAAAACGGGCCTTCACTGACGCCGTGTTGATGGTGCCAAAAGTGGCACTCATCATCCGAGTCCTTAAAGAGTGTTTGTTCCTTCGTGTGGTAGCTTGTCCGAGGTGAGGGGGGGGGGGGTCGGCGCTCGGCTCAAAGAATCGAGACGAGCGGCGGCGGAGCGTGAAAAAGTGGAAAACAATATCAGCTGCGTGCGTCTGTGGGTCGCCAATGCGCCTTTTGTCTCCGAGGGAGCCGCCGGAACAACTTGCGGCCCTTCGTCGTTGGGAACTTTTCCCTGCTTTCTTTTCAGGCACATTGGGAAAAAACCCCAAACGAAAATGCATACGTGGAACTGCTGCCGCTGCTGTTAGTCGCTTATGCCGTTTTCCAGAAAGAGAAAGAAAGGGGAAGGGGGGCGGGGGGGGGGCGACCAAGTTGTTGCTTGAAATGAAAGAGGAGTCTGGTGGCAGGAGTGGAGAGGAGGCAGCATATGGCTGTAGAAAGAGCACAGCTGGAGGTAGCATCTCCATCTGAGGATGATGTCAGAGCAGGTGTGTGTGTGTGTGTGTGTGTGTGTGTGTGTGTGTGTGTGTGGCAGTTAGTAGCAGGCAAGAAGAGGTGGGAGGTGATATCTGGTTCCCCCTCCAACATCGCCGCCACTTTGCATCTGTCCCTCGCACTTTCAACACAGCGAGCTGCCGCTGCTGCTTCTTTTTCATTTGGCCCTTCTTCCTCCTCCTCGTGCGCGTTCGCCGGCTCGCCCGCTACCCACTCGCAGGCGAGGCGAGAGAAGGGAAGGACGGACCGGAGCCAACCAGCCAGCCAGCGCGCAAGCCACACGGCTCCGGCTCCCCGGCCACGCTGGACATCATCGAGTGGATGCGTAGCGCCGCAGGTACCGTCCCCTACGACTTGCCCGCGCGTCTTGCGTTTGCGGGGCTTCGGGAACGCTCGCGCTCGTACTAGGTGGCGGGGCTTTTGAAATCCTTCTTTACTTTCTCCGTCGGCCGTTCGACTTCCAAATCGAGATGGACTTCAAGTCTTTGAAACGTGTCGTTGGGTCGCCGCGTTCCGACGCCGTTGGCGCTCACGTGTTTGAAATGTTCTCCGTCGGCACTTGGGGTTACTGTTGCTTGAGTGTGGACGAGAAGCAAGATGATTTAAAAAAAAAAAAAAACTTGACAAGCGACTTAAAACATTTGAAATGTTGTCGTTTTGGCAGTTGGTGTTACCGTTGCTCGGGTGCGCCTGAGAAAGGAAGATGGGGCAGAAGCAGCCTCGTTTGTTTGTCCGCCATCAGCCCCGAGCGCGGCGTACGAGCTGGATTGCTTCGTGTCGCGAGCGTTTGAAATGTTCCGGTCCGCGCCGCGGCTGTTCGGCGTCGCTTGCCGCGCTCGGGCCGTGGAGCGGGACGATCTGATTTCCCTGGGACAGAGGCGACGCATTGGAAATGGGCTTCTTTGGCCCTCGCTGGAGCACGGACTAGAAAGCCGCTGCTCGAGCGTGCGGCTATTTCATATTTGAAATGTTCTCGCACTTTTTTTCTCGGGGTCCGGTGAGGAAACGCCGGGGCTGATTTTCTCTTCCGGTCCCGGCGCGGTTCGAGGCATCAGCAAAAGGGATGGCGACATTTGCTCGAAGCCGAGAGCGGGCTTTCCGAGTTGGGAGCAGATTGCGCCTTTGCCAATGTACAAGGTGGCTTGGAAGAAAAGTGCCCATCTGAAACGTCAAAGGCGAGTTTCTTCCGATCCACGGAGGTGACTTGAAAACGAGTGGAAAAGCGGCACTCGCGCCGGTCCCGGGGCGGAGGATCCTAATTTAGAAGTTTGGGCTTTGCGCTGTCCGAATTGGCTAGACAGCTGTAATCGCACTCGCTGCCCGTCGTAATCTCTTTATCTGGCTAGCAGCTGCCATATGGCCCCCGTCAGCTGGATCAGATGTGGATAAGCCCCCCCCCCCCTCGCCCTCCCCCGCCCGCCTTCCTTGCTGTTCGGGCCGGGACCGGTCCATGCCTGCGTCTTTATTTTTAGGCATCTTAAGGATTAGGATTGATGCTGTGACGAGCGGGGCACTTACAGTGATTGTCTTGTAAATCTTCTTCTTCTTCTTCTTCTTCTTCTTTGGCGTCTTCTGGGCAGAGGAGGAGGAGGAGGATGTGCAAAGGGTTTTCTCGTAAGACTGCGTCTCGGGAGCATGTGGAGAGGAGGGGCTAGTTCACCCTTGTCCCCCTAAGCCCCCCCCCTCCATTACACACACCCTCCCCTGCCCCTCATTAAAAGTCGCGTACACACCACACACACACTCGTCCATTCTTACCGAGGCTTCATTCAAATGAGGCCATTTGAGCGTTCGGGCTAACGAGCGGCGCGAGAAAAGCCAGCAAGTGGGCGGGCGGCATGTATTTTCTCAGGCGGCACAAAGCGACGTGGCTAACAGGTGGGTCTTTGTAAGATGGTGGTGGTGTGTGTGTGTGCGTGGGGGGGTGGGGGGGGCACGGTTGAGTTTTGTCAAGCCGTGTGCGGAGGTGGCGGTTAGGTGGGTGTGTTTGTTGTGGAAAGCCGCTTAGCTAAAAGGGCCGTGGCGGGCCAGGCCAAAGTGGCTTCATAAAAATAACCCGCGTAGGAGCAGCGGCGGGCCACGGTGCAGAAAAGACGAGGCGGCGCAAATATTCCGGCACGCCGCGAAGGAATGCGCACCTTACTTTGGATGCCTTTTTGCCTCACACACACACACACACAAAAGTCCCCAAAATGTCATGCGGGCATCGCAATCAATTCTATTATTGTCAGAAATAATTCATTTCTGTTTGAAAAAAAAACATTTCGATATGTTCTGATGTATTGACATGATGAATTAAATTGAATAGCACTCGTGAAATGATGGACTTGGCGTGTGGTGCCGCTATCATGCCGGCGTCACTTTCCGAATTGAAGCGCACGGTTCCATTTTGTGAGCGGCACCTTGACGTGACATTATTTTGTCAGGGACGACATTTTTCCGCGCTATTCAAGTGAACTAACCGCGCACTGACGAGATGAGCGGCATCGCATTTTCCCTTTCTGTCTCGAAACGACATCAAAGACGTCGGCCACCAGATTGTCATTCGAGTCGCTCCCGTCTGAGCCCCAAACGGACGAGCGGAGCACACTTGGACTTTTTTCACTTTCCCAATTGATCATCTGAAATGAATTCCGTATTCAAATTTATTGAGAAGCAGTTTGGGTAGGATGGCGATTTGATTTGTTTTGAGGTTTTTTTTTGGGGGGGGTGGAATTACTGACAGAAATCCTAATTTTAAAGACTGGAACTCCTTTTTTGGTGTCAAATAGACAAGAGCGTAATGTGCTTTGATGTACCCCCCCCATCCACTTTTTGAATTTGCTGACTGAAAGAAATGACATTTGACCTCGCCTTGCAATTTTTCGAGACGAAGCTCCCATACGGTAGACGACAAAAGCGCATTTGATTTTTGCCCGCGTCGGAAGGAAACGACCGTCGCGGTAAGCCGCCCGTTCCTCGGCGCGCTCCCAAAACGGCGAGGCTCGCTCCGTACTCGGGTTCCGCCGTCCCCCTCGGACGAGGCGCGGTAAAAAAAAGCAACAGCAAAAGTTTTGTGGCCGTCTGCGCAGGTTATGAGGACAGCAGGATGGAGTTCCCCGACCACAGCCGCCATTTGCTGCGGTGTCTGAGCGAGCAGCGGCACCAGGGCTTCCTGTGCGACTCGACGGTGCTGGTGGGCGAGGCGCAGTTCCGCGCGCACCGCGCCGTGCTGGCCTCGTGCAGCATGTACTTCCACCTCTTCTACAAGGACCAGCTGGACAAGCGCGACGTGGTGCACCTCAACAGCGACATCGTGACGGCGCCGGCCTTCTCGCTGCTGCTGGAGTTCATGTACGAGGGCAAGCTGCGCTTCCAGGACCTGCCCGTGGAGGACGTGCTGGCCGCCGCGTCCTACCTGCACATGTACGACATCGTCAAGGTCTGCAAGAAGCGGCTCAAGCGCAAGGCCGCGGCCGGCGAGGCCGACGCCGCGCGGCGCGAGGACGACGGCGCCGGCTCCAGCTGCTCCGACAAGGCCGACAGCCCGTCGGAGGGCTC